AGACCTTCTCTTCCATGCATGGGGGGGAACATTGTGCTACGTAACGTAGTCATAAAGAGAGAGACAGAGAGACATAAAGCCAAGGTTTAACCAAATCAACAGTTCTTTCTGGCATCTTTTCTTTAATGTGCCGAGTATGGCGAGAAACTGAGAGGTTCAGGTTTTTTTTTTCTTCACTACAATGAGTGATGCTACGTGCACTTAAAAAATAGAGTTAATAATTTTAACCGTTGATTTTACTTTAGGTTTTAACATTTATTAAGATTCATTATCTATTCAGTGGTTAAAATTATCAAATTTAATTTTTAAGTTCTTCTAATATTATTTCTCTACAATACGAAGGATCCTCGTCTGAAGAGCTTGCTTTTTGGGTCTTCGTTCTTTTATTTAATTTGTACCTTGTCTTACTCCCTTGTGCAGTGGTTTTTATTGGAGAGTTCATTTGGAACTTTTTGCTGAATAATTTAGTATACTTAGATTCGGTCTCAAGTGGAATAACGGGTGCGAGGCCTTATGATCTTATCAGTAAATGTCTATCGGAATAGTTTATNTGTACCTGGCGAAGCCAAGTTTGACCTACATTAGGGGCAATCAATAGTTTGAGAAAACAATCACATAACAATCATAAATTTTTTTAATTTTTTTTTTTGTAAATTTGGATCGATTTTCATGAAACAATTGCATAAAATTCAGATCAATTTTTCCAAGATTTGAATTTATTTTAAAAATATTTTTTAATTTGATATGAATATTTAATGATTTTTTTAACAGTCTATATCCAAATAAAATAAATATTAAATAATCAAGCACGTCAATTTTTGAGAGTTGAATTTTATTAAATTTATTTTTAGTTCAATTCAATTGTATCAAGTAATACTCAATTCCATCATATATCCACATACATGAATGTAATAAATACTATATTACAATCAAATTAGAGTTTGATGTATCAAAATTTAAATTTATAAAATAGAACATAATTGATTTGAACTTGGATAATCGGTCAAAACTATCAATTTATATTTACCTAATCGAATTCTGACTCCAATCAAATCAAAGTCAAATTAAAATCTAATAGGTTAACAGACCTAAATTTTAAATTTATGAAATAATCCAATTTGATTTTTAAAATATAAAATTATACCTAATTTTTTTTTACAAAATTTTGTGGGGGAAGGTTTAAATAAACTTTAGATTTTTTAGTATTTAAAAAAGACACCAAAAATTTTGGAAATTTCAGTGGGCGCCGACCTTTTATTCACCCCGGTAATAACATTAATATAATATATACACCCGGATTTGGTTAATCCGTGCATACCGATGTCGTATACTTGTTTCTCTCTCCAATTGTTAGCAGAGATCGGTCGTGGGTGGTTGTTTAGAGCATCATATTCTTCAACACATATACTGAGTGATTGAAGCCACCAATCGTTGAATATTGTAACGGTTGATCTATCCATACCCAATTCCTCACACCAGCTGGTTGGCCAGTTGATAGACACATAGAGATGAACATCATGCTACTTGTACTTTTTGCTCTCTCTCTCTCTCTCTCATCTCCTATTTCAATCAAAAGAATATATTCTCTCATGTAGTACGTTGATATTCTCGATCAAATGTCCAAAATAAAATGCTACACAGACCAACCCAGAAAATTCGACACGATTCAAATCTAATCTCTCCTTCGTCCTCCTTGAGCTGACCTATATATATATATATATATATTGATGCTTAGTTATGTTATATATTGAGCATTGCCATGGCAGGGAGCGAGTGAGAGAGAGAGAGAGGAGGAGAGGCCTTGTATGAAGCTTAAGAGTCTTGTTTGGTAGCCAAGGATGACTTGCCTAAGATCCCACCCTAGAGGGTTCTTAGAAGACAAATTCAGCTATCTTGCATAGATAGAGAGGCCTTTAATGGTTTCTAGGCGTCGTCCGCGGCTAGCCTGACTGGCTCTTATCTTTCATGCTAGACCTTCTCTTCCATGCATGGGGGGGAACATTGTGCTACGTAACGTAGTCATAAAGAGAGAGACAGAGAGACATAAAGCCAAGGTTTAACCAAATCAACAGTTCTTTCTGGCATCTTTTCTTTAATGTGCCGAGTATGGCGAGAAACTGAGAGGTTCAGGTTTTTTTTTTCTTCACTACAATGAGTGATGCTACGTGCACTTAAAAAATAGAGTTAATAATTTTAACCGTTGATTTTACTTTAGGTTTTAACATTTATTAAGATTCATTATCTATTCAGTGGTTAAAATTATCAAATTTAATTTTTAAGTTCTTCTAATATTATTTCTCTACAATACGAAGGATCCTCGTCTGAAGAGCTTGCTTTTTGGGTCTTCGTTCTTTTATTTAATTTGTACCTTGTCTTACTCCCTTGTGCAGTGGTTTTTATTGGAGAGTTCATTTGGAACTTTTTGCTGAATAATTTAGTATACTTAGATTCGGTCTCAAGTGGAATAACGGGTGCGAGGCCTTATGATCTTATCAGTAAATGTCTATCGGAATAGTTTATGAGCATTCTCCCTTACCTCTATTCCTTTCAGGAAAAAAAAGAAAGAAATGATTTAGTATTATCTTTATTTGCCAAAATAATTTATTGATCTAATTTATCATAATTATTAAATTTATATTGAATCAAAAAAAATTAACACTCAATGTCTATTTAATAGTCATAAGTGATTATATTAATACATTATATCAATAAATTAAATTAAAATAATATTATTCTATCTTTATATAAAAAACTCACACAGAAAATAATATCAAACATGGTAAACAAAGGATCCCATAGTTAAAACTATAACTCGTACATATATTTGAAGGTCTAACGTGAGAACTTAATCAATAATAATTATTGAATTAAAAATAAATTACATCTAATATTAATTAGGGTTAATCTCATTTTACATCCCGAAAGATAGCTCGAATCTCAATTTGTACCCTCAAAGATAGAAATTTGTATCAATGTGCACCCCCAAAGATAAAAAATCTCAATTTGTACCCTCAAAAATAGAAATTTATATCAATGTGCACCCCAAATATAAAAAATCTCAATTTGCACTCTCAAATATAGAAATTTGTATCATTATACACCTAAAATAAGTTGATAAATTATACCTAAATCCTTNAAAGATAAAAAATCTCAATTTGCACTCTCAAATATAGAAATTTGTATCATTATGCACCTAAAATTAAATTGATAAATTATACCTAGATCCTCTCATATTTGTCACTTAATAATTTGGACCTCTTTACATTTAGAATATTACTCCTACATCTCATGACATTTATGCACGTACAACATGTAACCCATTTTCATTGATATCTGTTAATATAACCGTTAAAAAATATAATTTTATCCTAATAAAAAATTATAATTTCATATTACCATTATTTTATGGGTCCAATATACTTTAAAGTTCAAAATCAAGCTTACCATGTGAATGTTTAATAAAATGTAGATATTTATATAATATTTTTCATATTTTCCTTTTTATAAATATCTAGATTTTGTTAGACATTCAAATAGTAAGTTTGATTTTGAACTTTAGAGTATATTGAATCAACAAAATAAAGGATAATATGAAATTATAATTTTTTATTAGGATAAAATCATATTTTTTAACGATTATATTAATAGATATCAATGAAAAGTGGTTATGTTTACACATGTACAAATGTCATGAGATGTAGGGGTAATATTCTAAATGTGAAGGGGTTCAAATGATTAAGTGACAAACATGAGGGGATCTAGGTATAATTTATCAATTTAGTTTTAGGTGTACATTAATACATATTTCTATCTTTGAGGGCGTAAATTGAAATTTTTGATCTTTGAGGGTGTACGTCGATACAAATTTCTATCTTTGAGGGTGCAAATTGAGATTTTTGATCTTTGGGGGTGTACATTGATATAATTTTCTATCTTTGAGGGTGTAAATTAAAATTTTTAATCTTTGGAGGTGTAAATTGAGATTCGAACAATTTTTTGGAGTGCAAAATGAGATTAACCCTATTAATTAATCTCTCATTAAGTCCCATATTAGTGGGTCCCGTTGCTCAAATAGATTCAATACGTAGGATGGGACCCACGGCGTCATTACAGAGTATAAGACACATCTCGTATTGTGGTGTGCAAAATCCAACGGGTCCTNTGTAGATATTTATATAATGTTTTTCATATTTTCCTTTTTATAAATATCTACATTTTGTTAGACATTCAAATAGTAAGCTTGATTTTGAACTTTAGAGTATATCGAATCAACAAAATAAATGATAATATGAAATTAAATTTTTTATTAGGATAAAATCATATTTTTTAACGATTATATTAATAGATATCAATGAAAAGTGGTTATGTTTACACATGTACAAATGTCATGAGATGTAGGGGTAATATTCTAAATGTGAAGGGGTTCAAATGATTAAGTGACAAACATGAGGGGATCTAGGTATAATTTATCAATTTAGTTTTAGGTGTACATTAATACATATTTCTATCTTTGAGGGTGTAAATTGAGATTTTTGATCTTTGGGGGTATACATTGATACAAATTTCTATCTTTGAGGGTGCAAATTGAGATTTTTGATCTTTGGGGGTGTACATTGATACAATTTTCTATCTTTGAGAGTGTAAATTAAAATTTTTAATCTTTAGAGATATAAATTGAGATTCGAACAATTTTTTGGAGTGTAAAATAAGATTAACCCTATTAATTAATCTCTCATTAAGTCCCATATTACTGGGTCCCGTTGCTCAAATAGATTCAATACGTATGATGGGACCCACGACGTCATCTTCATGAAATAATTACAGAGTATAAGACACATCTCGTATTGTGGTGTGCAAAATCCAACGGGTCCTGCCCCGTTTGCATATTTCTGGGTGGCCATTTNATTACAGAGTATAAGACACATCTCGTATTGTGGTGTGCAAAATCCAACGGGTCCTGCCCCGTTTGCATATTTCTGGGTGGCCATTTGCCCCCATTCCAAAACAAACTGGTAAGAGGGCATTGGTCAAACCCAATCCTCTCTCTCTCTCTCTCTCTCTCACACACACACACAAACACACACACACACACATCAGAGATCTCTGATCTCCGAGCTCTGATTTCTTCGAATCCAGACGCTACGTCCACCGTTGATTAGCAAACTTAGATCCACCATTCGACCTCTCAATTCGACCAAAAGCTCATACATCTAATCATTGATCAAAATGATAACAATTCCGTATTTGACAGCCTTGACCACATATTTCAGCTACGGTTTGCTTTTCGCTTTTGGCCAATTACGCGACTTTTTCAGAAAAATCATCGATTGGTGGTATGCCGGCAATCTTCAGGTAATTATTATGTATCTCTACATGTAAATTTGTATCCGTGTTTGTATATTAAAATCTCTTTCCGGTACTAAAAATTCAAGTTCTGTTCTGATTTTCGAATTGATTTTTTAATAATCTGGTGTTTTTTTAGGGATATGCACCGATCTGCTTAGGGCTTGAGGACTTTTATATTCGGCGGTTGTATCTTCGTATTCAGGTATAGAATTGTTTTAGATCTCCATCGTTTGTGTTGATATAATTTTATGTACCTATGGTTTCTTTAATTGGATGTTTCTTGTGATGTGCTCGTATATTGTAATTTTAACTGGATGCGTAGATGTGTGAATATTGTTGAATCAGAATATAAAAAATGAAAAAATACCTGGGCACAAAAGTATATAGTCATAGATGACACACACACAGAGGTATATGTTGAAAAACAGAGGCGTGAAAAGATTAATAGATATAAAAATAGGTGACTACTTTTTTAATCAGGTCAATTTCCAAGAAAATTGAATATTTATAGTAATAATCGAGTTTTTCCCTTTTGATTTGGAGGAAGTATAAATTTTTTGAAGATTAACTAAGGAAGGTAAGGCAAGTATAACAAGGTGCTTCGTCATTGCTAACATGAGTATGCAATTTACTGTTCCCATCACCTGCAATACGTTTCTTTAAACTGGAGGGCAAATTATGCCAACTTCAAAAATAAGTATAAACTGATTTATTTTTGCTCCTTTTATCCTTACACTAAGGTATCAGGCTTTGAATTTGTCCTGCTGTGTTGATCTCTGGTTTATGTTGAAGGATTAAGAAGGAGAATTTTGTAGTTGATGTGCGTTATGTCCACCCCTATGTAGGACTGTTTTGGACGGCCTATATCGAGTCCTCCTGATGCTTGGTTTGACGTGGTGGAGCGTGTCTCCAATGACAATAACAAGACTCTAAAGTGAGTATTCCAATATGCCTTTGAAGTTTATAGGTTGACCACATATTTGATTAATCTTAACGTTTGTCTATGTGCTTTCTTCTTTTTGATGGTTCAGTTCCTTTTCTATATGATGGCATTATTGATGCCATTGTAGCACTTAGCAAGGTTTAGTAAGATACTGTTCAAAAAAAAAAAAAAGGTTTAGTTAGATGCCTCAAATTTTAACTGTATTTGAAATGGANTATATGATGGCATTATTGATGCCATTGTAGCACTTAGCAAGGTTTAGTAAGATACTGTTCAAAAAAAAAAAAAGGTTTAGTTAGATGCCTCAAATTTTAACTGTATTTGAAATGGAGTACTGTTGAATATATCCAATTGCATCTTTTGCAGGCGTACCACAAAGATCAGTCGGTGTCTCAACTTAGGCTCATACAATTACCTTGGGTTTGCTGCAGCAGACGAATACTGTACACCTCGTGTGATTGAGTCTTTAAAAAGATTTTCTCCAAGCACCTGCAGTGCTCGTGTTGATGGAGGTGGGCACATTTATTTGCAAGAAAATCTTGTTTGTGTGCTTGATTATGCACTAATGAGATTTTCCGATCAGGCACCACTACTGTGCATACTGAATTGGAGGAGTGCGTGGCAAATTTTGTTGGAAAGCCATCTGCTATAGTTTTTGGCATGGGCTACGTAACGAACTCAGCTATCCTCCCTGTATTGATTGGAAAGGTACTTCTAGGTACTTACATAAGGACAATGTGTACTATTGTGCATTGATTTTATCATTTTATTCAAGTTTGCTACTCTTGATGGGGTCATCTGCAGGGAGGGTTGATAATCAGTGATTCTCTGAACCACAACTCTATTGTCAATGGTGCAAGAGGATCAGGAGCTACCATTCGAGTTTTCCAACATAATAGTAAGTCTATGTAGGGTGCTTTTTGTTCTTCTGGAGAAATATTTTATTTGAATTGTATAGTTATTTGAATGCATGTTGTTCTCTTAACCATTTTCTATTTAGCTCCATCCCACTTGGAGAAAGTTTTGAGAGAACACATTTCTGAGGGACAACCCAGAACACACAGACCATGGAAGAAGATTATTGTAGTTGTGGAGGGGATTTATAGCATGGAAGGGGAACTTTGCCAACTTCCGGAGATCGTTGCTATTTGCAAGAAATACAAGGTGAAGCATCTATTAAATGGTTCTCTTTATAAAAAAATAAAAAAATAATAATAATAAAAAAATGGTTCTCTTTATGCTCTTGTATATATACAAGGTGAGTCTTTTTTAGCTTCAAATTCTTCCTTTGGGAACAAGTCTAGAATCGTGATCTGTCTTTTGCTGTTACTTTTTGATTGGTAAGCCTTTACCTGGCATTCTGTGTGAAAGTAAGTTTTGTTCTATTTTCTCATTGTAATTAGGATAAGGCACTAGCTCTGGAATTTTGAGAAACATGTTATTATATCGTCCCCTCTCCTTTAACAAAAGGTAAAAAGAAAGATGAGATCTTGCAATTGTGAACATGAACGTCTATAATAAGGATTGTTATTTTTTCCGTTACCTTTAGTTAGTCCATGCGTATGTGTTTCTTGTGTTTTGAGGGATTTGAAAAATTTTGTCATGGTTTGAATACATTTTTTCGTGGTTAACGTATACTTTAGTTTTTTGCTTTGTTTGTCTTCTGATATGTCTTCCTGTTTCTCTCCGTATATAAGTTACATTTGATTTTGCTGTCTACTTGACACAGGCTTATGTTTATTTGGATGAAGCTCACAGCATCGGAGCAGTTGGGAAATCAGGTAGAGGTGTCTGTGAGCTTTTAGGAGTGGATACCGCTGATGTGGATATCATGATGGGAACTTTCACTAAATCATTTGGATCATGTGGTGGTTATATTGCAGGATCTAAGGTTAGTTTCTTGTGCACCCTTCCTTCAATCTTCCTACAAATGTGGTGAATGTAAGGAAATGTATCACTGTGATATCAGTAGAGGACACATCAATCATTTCGTACCTAGTTAATATTTATTTGTGGATGTCAAATAGACGCCTGAGAGAGAGCAAATATTTCCAGTTTCTATGCATTGATTCACCAAATTGAGTCACAAATCCTTTTGGTGAATAATTTATAAGTCCATGGAGAATCCTACAAGACATTGGGGCATTCTTAATGTTGGAAATTCAATAATTGCAAATAAGTGGTACACTAATCCTAATTTGAATGGAAGAAATGCAGAGGGTCTGAATAGGAGTATCCAGTGACTTTGATTCTTTGGGAAGGCTTTGACTTTCTTGCTTTGTGCCCTTTTTTGGCTATGTGGGGGATATTTTCTGTAGTCCTTGCTGTTGGTGTAGCTACCCTTGTATCTATTATAGGTCTTGTTTTGTTTCTTTTTGGTTTCTTTTGTTTCGTGTATGCTTCTTGTGCACATAGGTTGAGCCCTCTTAGCGCCTGTCAGATTTAAATTGTTCTAATATTGAAGGCATTATTTTGAAATATCGAAATTAATTGTAGTTCAGGCTTGCCCGCCTTCCATGGTGCCATAGCATGTAATACACGAGTTAGATACATTGCAACAGTGGTAGATACAGCATGTGATGTACCCTTCTTTTGTTCTCATTTTGCATGTTCAGTGATTAACAATCTTTGCCTTTCCAGGACCTTATTCAATATTTGAAGTACACTTGTCCTGCTCATCTGTATGCGACATCAATATCACCCCCTGCTGCTCAACAGATTATTTCTGCCATAAAGGTTATTCTTGGAGAGGATGGTTCTAGTAGAGGTTGGACAAATCCTCTGCATTTCCATTATCTCGACTTTTATGATGTGTTCACTTCAGTGCTTTTAACCGGGATGGCTTATTTACTGATGACTTAAGCTGCTATTTGTGTCGATATAGGGGCCCAGAAACTTGCACGAATACGTGAGAACAGCAACTTTTTCAGATCAGAACTGCAAAAGATGGGCTTCGAGGTTCTCGGGGATAACGATTCTCCTGTGATGCCTATAATGCTCTACAATCCAGCAAAAATTCCTGCTTTTTCACGGGAATGTCTCCGACGGAATGTAAGCTTCCTTGCATTCCTCTCTTGGCCACCAATTTTAGGGTCCTTTTGGTATCATACTTCCACTTTTGTCTAGTAAATAGTGTGACACATGGAAATTTATTTTATTTTATTATTTTTGCACTTAATAACTACAAATTCATCGAACCAAGATCTCCTGTTCCCAATCAATTCGGTAAGGCGCTGAAATGTTCTTTTTGGAGTTACCATGGGCTTGTCCACAGTTTTATGTTTATTTTCTGGTAAGTCGGACAACTTGCTGCTCACCAAAAACTTTCTAGTAGCTATAGGCGCTTCTTCTACTTATTCAATACAGATTTCATGTTTTGAATTATGACATCTTATAAACACCACCTCTGGCTGTTATAGGTGGCTGTTGTGACGGTTGCTTTTCCAGCTACCCCTTTGCTGTTGGCCCGAGCACGGATCTGCATCTCTGCTGCTCACACGAGAGAAGACATGGTCAAAGCCTTAGAGGTGATAATCTATTTGTAGATCATAATTTATTTTGTTCTTAATTTCAACTTTATTCTTCGCCTTCCTTTTCTTCTACACTTGATCCTAGTAGTACCATTGTTGTTTTTTTCTGCATTTGAAGCTTCAAAGCGTCACTTTTCCACCCCTCATCTCTGAGCTCTGTTTAGATCTCTGGCGATATTTTGCATAGTTTGCAGATAACAAATTAGTAAGGGCTTGTTCGGTAACGTGATTTTCTAAAAAATGAAAAACATAATCAAAAAACGAAAAATGTCTCTTTCTCGTTTTTGAAAATCGCCCCCTCGTTTACAAAACGATGACAGAAAAAAAAAAATAAAAACGATTATCAAACGAGTTTTTTTTTCTTGTTTTCTCTAAATATCAAAATAAAAATGAAAAACAAAAAACATAAACCTTACCAAATGGGACCTCAATAACATGATTTCTTCTCNAAAAGAAGATAAAAACGATTATCAAACGAGTTTTTTTTTCTTGTTTTCTCTAAATATCAAAATAAAAACGAAAAACAAAAAACAAAAAACATAAACCTTACCAAATGGGACCTCAATAACATGATTTCTTCTCTTTGCTAGGTTATAAGCAGTGTTGGTGATCAAGTGGGCATAAAATATTTCCCTGCAGAGCCCAAGAAACATGCTGCTGAGGAGGAGGAAGGCAGAATCAAGTTGGAGTAGAGAAATTTTGGTTTTAGTGAATTTGTGCCAGTGGAGCTTCAAGAGTGTTGTATTGCTAGATGCTTCTAAAGTACCCAGCCCAAGAAGAAGAAAAACGAAAAAAAAAAGATATGCTGCTAAGGTATCATAGTTTGTTTGCTGGACCTCGTATCTAGACGTGACCTGTTCGATTTTGTTCAGTCGATGTACAGTTGCATTTTTTTGTTCCCAACACTTTATCATCCTTGTTTATCAGTGTTACTTAAGATTTACATTTATGTGCTATTATTTAATTACTAATTTTTTTCTGTCTTTTTACGCAATCTCTAGTTTAGTGCTCTTTTTTTTTTTTTTTTTTGGAGCTAGTCACAATCCTGTACCATTTGTATTTGAACTCCTATGCAAAATTCTGAACTCCGAATATGGGCTAAACTTGACTTTTATGCTGCCAGAAAAACTTAAATTTAGAATGTGGAGAATTATGTGTCTGTCTTTTATGGGATTTTTGGAAGTCGATACATCTAATTCGACTTATTTGATAAAAAGTATATAGAACAAAATGTGAGTTAAAAAGACATAAATGTCCATTTTAGGGTCATTTAATTCAAAATCTTTTATTTTTAATGCACCTTGATTCATGTGTGTTTGTTAATACATATAAATACATATTTAATGCATTTTGATTTATGTGTATTTATTAATACATATATATATATATATATATATACACGAATATATACATTTATTTATACACACACACACACACACACACATATATATATTTGTTGTTAAATCTTTTATTTAAATTTTGAATTATCTTTAATGCACCTTAATTCATGTATATATTTTTTTTAAAAGTGATTTTGTTTTCAAATTATATTTAATGCACCTTGATTCAAGCGTTTTTTTTTTTTTGAAAAATAGTTTTATTTTCAAATTAATTTAATATCCGAATAATGTAACAGTATAATAATAACAGTGTAACAAAAATACTGTAACAAAGNTATAACAAAAATACTATAACAAAGATAGTATAACAAATACACTGTAACAAAAATAGTGTTTAGTAGTTTTGTGTATACGGTAACAAATTCAAAATGAAAATGAACTATTTTAAATGAAATTATCTGAAACTATATGTTTGACAAAATGTAATAATACAATATTTTGTATAAATAACTTGTTATATTATTATTGTTATACTGTTACATTGTTAGTGTTACACCGTTACTCTTTTATTGTTATACTGTTACACTATTCGAATATTAAATTAATTTGAAAATAAAACCACTTTCTAAAAAAAAANTGTAACAAAAATACTATAACAAAGATAGTATAACAAATACACTGTAACAAAAATAGTGTTTAGTAGTTTTGTGTATATGGTAACAAATTCAAAATGAAAATGAACTATTTTGAATGAAATTATCTGAAACTATATGTTTGACAAAATGTAATAATACAATATTTTGTATAAATAACTTGTTATACTATTATTGTTATACTGTTACATTGTTAGTGTTACACCGTTACACTTTTATTGTTATACTGTTACACTATTCGGATATTAAATTAATTTAAAAATAAAACCACTTTCTAAAAAAANCTTTTCCACCCCTCATCTCTGAGCTCTGTTTAGATCTCTGGCGATATTTTGCATAGTTTGCAGATAACAAATTAGTAAGGGCTCGTTTGGTAGCGTGATTTTCTAAAAAATGAAAAACATAATCAAAAAACGAAAAACGTCTCTTTCTCGTTTTTGAAAATCGCCCCCTCGTTTACAAAACGATGACAGAAAAAAAGAAGATAAAAACGATTATCAAACGAGTTTTTTTTTCTTGTTTTCTCTAAATATCAAAATAAAAACGAAAAACAAAAAACAAAAAACATAAACCTTANGTATGAATCAAGGTGCATTAAAAGATAATTTAAAATTTAGATAAGAGATTTAACAATAAATATATACATATCATACATACATAAGTATATAATCCATAAAACTAGGAGATGTTTAATACACCACTTTCCAAAAAAAAAAATGGTGCATTAAATACACATGAATTAATAGAGGACAAAAATATCACAATAAAAATAAATAAATTCAAATTATATGCTTAGATACAAATAAGTATCAAAATTAAGTACTTAATAACCCTACATTTTTTAGTATGTATTTTTTACCAAATAAATCTAATTTAGTATACCCCTTATAATTTACCCGTCTTATTTGACAACCGACCCATTTTGGTTGAGATCTTTGATCATCGTGGCAACAAATACAAATATGTTCTGATGAGTGAATAGGAGAGACAATACAGACTCCTAAAATGTAAGGAACAACAAAGCCAAATTCTGAACAAAGTCAAAATTAAATGAAAGGAATAGACTCTTTCCCTAATACTTCTCACGCAGAACACAGTATAATCACTTCTGTTCAAAAATTGATCCATGCTAGTAAGTTACTTATTATTTTCCCTAACTCATACCTTCCTCAGTATTAACTCCAAGGATTGGTTAATTAATAACAGAGATAAGTTGTAAATTCGAACGTCTTGAATTCGAATATTGACAATTCCTTAGAACTAGACTATGAAGAATTTATCTCTCATGAATACTCTAAAAATTTCAACGTTCATGGCCAACCTTAGACTGGATCAGAGAGCAGATTAATTAAGATACATATAAATTAGCCCAAACACTTGACCATTGAACCAAAAATAAAAAAATTATATATATCATATTTTCTTACAAAATTATCGTGTTTTCGAGCACTAGCTCAACTCCTCAAAGCTACTGCAGAGTTGCAAACAACCTTTTGCAGGTACAACCACCTTTTGCTTCATTCTATTCCTTTTAGAGAAGGCCATTTGCAAGTAAAAGAATGTGCATTTATTTGTCTTATGCTTTCAACTAAGGCAACTTGAGTATTGAATGCTTATGCTATAGCACAGNATATACATTTATTTATACACACACACATATATATATATTTGTTGTTAAATCTTTTATTTAAATTTTGAATTATCTTTAATGCACCTTAATTCATGTATATATTTTTTTTAAAAGTGATTTTGTTTTCAAATTATATTTAATGCACCTTGATTCAAGCGTTTTTTTTTTTGAAAAATAGTTTTATTTTCAAATTAATTTAATATCCAAATAATGTAATAATATATCAATAACAGTGTAACAAAAATACTATAACAAAGATAGTATAACAAATACACTGTAACAAAAATAGTGTTTAGTAGTTTTGTGTATATGGTAACAAATTCAAAATGAAAATGAACTATTTTGAATGAAATTATCTGAAACTATATGTTTGACAAAATGTAATAATACAATATTTTGTATAAATAACTTGTTATACTATTATTGTTATACTGTTACATTGTTAGTGTTACACCGTTACACTTTTATTGTTATACTGTTACACTATTCGGATATTAAATTAATTTAAAAATAAAACCACTTTCTAAAAAAAAAATGTATGAATCAAGGTGCATTAAAAGATAATTTAAAATTTAGATAAGAGATTTAACAATAAATATATACATATCATACATACATAAGTATATAATCCATAAAACTAGGAGATGTTTAATACACCACTTTCCAAAAAAAAAAATGGTGCATTAAATACACATGAATTAATAGAGGACAAAAATATCACGACAAAAATAAATAAATTCAAATTATATGTTAGATACAAATAAGTATCAAAATTAAGTACTTAATAACCCTACATTTTTTAGTATGTATTTTTTACCAAATAAATCTAATTTAGTATACCCCTTATAATTTACCCGTCTTATTTGACAACCGACCCATTTTGGTTGAGATCTTTGATCATCGTGGCAACAAATACAAATATGTTCTGATGAGTGAATAGGAGAGACAATACAGACTCCTAAAATGTAAGGAACAACAAAGCCAAATTCTGAACAAAGTCAAAATTAAATGAAAGGAATAGACTCTTTCCCTAATACTTCTCACGCAGAACACAGTATAATCACTTCTGTTCAAAAATTGATCCATGCTAGTAAGTTACTTATTATTTTCCCTAACTCATACCTTCCTCAGTATTAACTCCAAGGATTGGTTAATTGATAACAGAGATAAGTTGTAAATTCGAACGTCTTGAATTCGAATATTGACAATTCCTTAGAACTAGACTATGAAGAATTTATCTCTCATGAATACTCTAAAAATTTCAACGTTCATGGCCAACCTTAGACTGGATCAGAGAGCAGATTAATTAAGATACATATAAATTAGCCCAAACACTTGACCATTGAACCAAAAATAAAAAAATTATATATATCATATTTTCTTACAAAATTATCGTGTTTTCGAGCACTAGCTCAACTCCTCAAAGCTACTGCAGAGTTGCAAACAACCTTTTGCAGGTACAACCACCTTTTGCTTCATTCTATTCCTTTTAGAGAAGGCCATTTGCAAGTANTAATAACAGAGATAAGTTGTAAATTCGAACGTCTTGAATTCGAATCTTGACAATTCCTTAAAACTAGATTATGAAGAATTTATCTCTCATGAATACTCTAAAAATTTCAACGTTGATGGCCAACCTTAGACTGGATCAGAGAGCAGATTAATTAAGATAGATATAAATTAGCCCAAACACTTGACCATTGAACCAAAAATAAAAAAATTATATATATCATATTTTCTTACAAAATTATCGTGTTTTCGAGCACTAGCTCAACTCCTCAAAGCTACTGCAGAGTTGCAAACAACCTTTTGCAGGTACAACCACCTTTTGCTTCATTCTATTCCTTTTAGAGAAGGCCATTTGCAAGTAAAAGAATGTGCATTTATTTGTCTTATGCTTTCAACTAAGGCAACTTGAGTATTGAATGCTTATGCTATAGCACAGCAGGTTCTGCTATAGCACAGGAGCGGGAAACAGCAGGTTCCAACTCCCTTTTCTAGTCCAAATTGTAAAATAACAACAAATAAATAAAATCTGGAGCTCAATCAGATAATGAAAACCATTCGGTCCCCACAAGCTTTTCTCTTTGCAAAGAACATACCTCCTCAAACTGAATCACTGTCAGTGCATTGCAACAGCACCAATCTTTAAGGGAAAAGCTTTAAACAGGTTCAAATAACACTACTGGCAGTGAATTTAGAAATTATATTCAAGGTATTTTTTTCCCTATACTGGTGGTATTCTCATCCCTCGTGTACTTCTTTTCAATTTTATATAAAAATTATTTCGCTGCTCATAAAAAAAACTTATATTCAAGGTGAGATGATCATTATTGCATTTAGATCATTANTGTTCAAGGTCTTTTTTTCCCTATACTGGTGGTATTCTCATCCCTCGTGTACTTCTTTTCAATTTTATATAAAAATTATTTCGCTGCTCATAAAAAAAACTTATATTCAAGGTGAGATGATCATTATTGCATNTATTCAAGGTATTTTTTTCCCTATACTGGTGGTATTCTCATCCCTCGTGTACTTCTTTTCAATTTTATATAAAAATTATTTCGCTGCTCATAAAAAAAACTTATATTCAAGGTGAGATGATCATTATTGCATTTAGATCATTATTAAACCTGCACTCTTACTTAAGATAAAAACACAATCCCACCTTCCCTAATCTCTCCGTGGGCCCAACAATCACCATGCTCTTCCTTCGTCTCACCATCTCCTAGTCCATCCATAGCAAAATATTCTGATTGGGCAAAAAAATTGACAAGATTAAAACAATTGGTGCTCAATAAATCATAGCTGATGATTAATCAACAATCTATAGGACAGGTTTCTTGATTTGATCTATATCTCCAGTAAGGCAGTGTTTACTATTTGACATGCAACCCTTATTCTATGGCTAGTATCTGAAGTAACTCTACTCTAACAGTAAGGACTTCTTACCACTAAGACAATTTATGTTCTCACCATAACCAAGTTCCACAGATGCAGTAATACAACAACAATATCAAATCAAGAGTGTAAGATCTCGGATTAAAAAGGGCCAACTTAAACTCTAAATATAAATTAATCTCAATTTACTTATGCCTGTATACCATTTTCAGCAATGTCATCTAAAGTGCATTTTACTACAGGAAAACATTTATGACCATAACAAAGATACAAAAAAGGGTACACAACGACACTGTGGAGACAGAAAACTTCCCCTTTACCAACAATATGGACCCGAATCATGCTTCATAACCACAACATTTCATTTTCACAAACATTGCATTAATACCAAACTTACCCAAAACCAAATGAAAATTCTCAAACTGTCTTAATTCCTTTAGCTTAAGCAAATGTTTATAGGAGAAAACAATCCCTGCAAAGAATGCCACAAGATTTGCAGAAAGCATAATATCTGCCGAGTATGAGATAATAAACACTTACTAAACCAAAATCAATGCAAACGAAGGCCTTCAAAGAACAGTCAGAGTAAATAAAAAAAGTGAAGACAGCCATTATCAAAATTACATCATCTATATTTGTCAGTAATTGCCTAGTCATTTGCTCCTCAAGTACAATAGTTATTTTCGTTCTCTAATGCTACACTAGCAAAGTTAAGTACTCTTTCGCATGAAACTGCACTAGTAGATTAAAATGCATCACCTAGGGCAATCATAAAGAAACATATGAAGTGTTGAAACAAAACCATTACATTGCAAGATAGTAGGTTGCAAGAAATAACCCAAGATGCTCATACCCATTTCGACATTGTGTCTTCCATGGCTATTGTACTAGTTCTTCTCCAATTCTATCGACCCACAGCGCGAATCAAACTCAAACTCACGAAAACCCTTTACCTAGCTTCTGAATCGAACAATACATTTTCCTCCTCGAGCCAACAGCATTAATACCCATATCTTTCAAATCCTCCAAAGTCAGCATTGGCAAAACCTCATCATCCACCTCATGTATCTCAAAAACCGGGGCGTACCGTCCCAATCCCAACTGATTCAACCAAACCCTCACCCCATTCCTCTCCGAATTATTCCAAGTCCTCGCATCTGTATCACTTGGGCCATCCAATTCAACCCCATCATGACAATCCCTANATCCCAACTGATTCAACCAAACCCTCACCCCATTCCTCTCCGAATTATTCCAATTCCTCGCATCTGTATCACTTGGGCCATCCAATTCAACCCCATCATGACAATCCCTACCCTCCATGGAAAACCGGGTACCCCTAACACCACCCCTCCTATGAAAATTCCCTCTATCCAAATTATCTAACGAATGAATTGGACTTTGGACCTCCTTCAACGGACTCTCCGAACCATCCCGATTGAAATCCCTATACCCATCATCTTCACCACTGAATTTCTCATCCTCCTCATTACCACCTCCACTGAACTTCTCGTTCTCATCGATTTTTGAAACCCAATTAGACCTCACTCTCTTGGTTGAATTCCTCTTCGATTTAGAATCCCTAATTTTCCAGCTCCCAATTGCCACGCTGTCCAAATTACCTTCCTTATCCTCGCCATCTAGGGTTTCATGATAGTCTCCCGAGCTGGTTAAATTCATCATAGCTCTAGTCTTTGAGGCTTTGCTTGTGTCTTTGATTGGAAGTCTCCATTGCTTAGTTCTTCGATTCGGGTGCGCTTCATAGGGTTGGTCTCCGATATCGCCCAATNTACCCTCCATGGAAAACCGGGTACCCCTAACACCACCCCTCCTATGAAAATTCCCTCTATCCAAATTATCTAACGAATGAATTGGACTTTGGACCTCCTTCAACGGACTCTCCGAACCATCCCGATTGAAATCCCTATACCCATCATCTTCACCACTGAATTTCTCATCCTCCTCATTACCACCTCCACTGAACTTCTCGTTCTCATCGATTTTTGAAACCCAATTAGACCTCACTCTCTTGGTTGAATTCCTCTTCGATTTAGAATCCCTAATTTTCCAGCTCCCAATTGCCACGCTGTCCAAATTACCTTCCTTATCCTCGCCATCTAGGGTTTCATGATAGTCTCCCGAGCTGGTTAAATTCATCATAGCTCTAGTCTTTGAGGCTTTGCTTGTGTCTTTGATTGGAAGTCTCCATTGCTTAGTTCTTCGATTCGGGTGCGCTTCATAGGGTTGGTCTCCGATATCGCCCAATCGAACGCTCGGCCTTCGCTGCCGTTTGGTTCCCACGTTTTCCGTGCAAACTACCGCCAGTTCTCCGCCGTTTGACTCTCCCTCCGGTGGCTGTGACTCCGCCATTCTTGGTGTAGAGTGAGAAAGACAGTGCAATAGATCCACAACTTTCTATCTCTATGGCTTTTAATACATATTTCACTTTGTGGACTGTGTGAGTTTCTTGGCGCCGGTGGTGGTGCTTGTGTTGGGAGAGAGAGAGAGAGAGAGAGAGAGGCGAAAGTGAAGCAGACAGATTGGACTGACTGAAGTAATCGAAGAGTTGAGAGAGAGAGAAAGAGAGAGAGAGAGGGTGCAGTTCTACAAATTAGAGCGATTGGCACGTGTTTATCTAGAGAATAATGTAATTATATGTGCATCAAATTTGTACACTAAATTAATTATTGTCGTTGGATTATTGAGACATATTGATATAATATTTAGTGTATATTAATTTGTGCACTCGTGCATTATACGTGAATTATTTTGAATTATTATAATTTTTATTTATTACTTTTATAATAAAATATTACTTGGTCAAATTATAGTNATACGTGAATTATTTTGAATTATTATAATTTTTATTTATTACTTTTATAATAAAATATTACTTGGTCAAATTATAGTTAAAATTTTTAAGAATGTAATCCTCATGTCCGTTGCATATGAATTTTTTTTAAATTAGTCTAATAATTTGTATTTTTTTTAAACATCTTACAAATATCAAAACCTATATTTTATTCTAGATCCGTAAACTGATGATTTAGTTGCATAGTGGAGGTCAGACCAAATACAAGTACTTAATTATCACAATACAAATTAAAATTGATAATGTACAAAATAATTTCGTGCAAGATCAACAGTTGAGTGTATGGTATTATGTAATTAACGAGACAATTAATAGAACAATCAATGACAAAAAAAAGTAACTATTGAGTCTTCAGACAAATTTATAGTGGTTCGATTCGAATAGCCTACTTCACTCCAAGAAACGACATCAGTGGCTAGAGAACCTTTATTAATGAATAAAGTAATAGAAAGAAAGCTCTGAGAGAGATATGCTCCTGGAGTGGTCCAATAGCTGGAAGAGATAAAAGTTATGTGAGGGTGTGTAGAGAGGTATAGAGATGTGTGAAGGGGTGTCTCTCCCATGCAGAGAAGATTTACAATTTATAGGTGTGGAGCCTTGGTTAGGACGGTGATGTGTAAGTAAAAGTACTAGTTCTTCGGGGAGGACATCTATAATAGGTAAGTATAATTAAAATTGTCTAGATCTTCGAGAGTAGATATCCCCGATGATATCTACCACATGCTCTTATCTTCATAGGCTTCTTGAATCTTGGATTGGGTCGAATTGATAAACTGGGCTCTGCCTGACTTTTAGATAGGCCTAAATTCATATGTATGACAAATAAATTCGTCAAAAACAATCAAGGATAACAATTCATATGTATGACAAATAAATAATGATGCATAGATCTTAAATTCTTGAAATTTTAGATAGGCCTAAATTCAACTTGCAAATTGGCTGATGAAAAGTGAAATCCATTTCTTCAAATTAAAAAGTAACACACATACATAACTTTAAAAAAATTATTTAAGTTTCCTCTTTCAAATTTTGTACCACAACTATACTGGTAAAAGTTAACTAAAGCTAATTAAAATGTCCAACAAACATTTCTATTAAGATGTTTGGTTGTAATTCATATTCATGATAATTATAACACTATTTTTTTTATTGTTATTACTCTAAACAAGCAATTTATTAAACTTTTTAACAGTAACCAAATTCTGATCATTTTCTGGATGTTAATACACATGGTGTGTTTGTGTCTGATTTCTCCGTGAAAATTCAATTTTGTTAGTATCATAAAACATGGGATGAATTCGCAAAAAAAAAAAATTATAATAGACATTAATTCAAAAATAATACCACAAAAAGTAGAAATGCACAAAACGTTGAGATGCAGAGAGAATTAAATGCGTGGAGTAACACATGCTGAGAAAGATAGAGAGAAAAAGGGAAACATCGACGGTTTCTTGAAGAGGTAAAGAAGAGAGAGAAAAAAGTTTATTTAGAGTGGGGGGAAGATGGAGATGAAACGATAGGGGGAGAGAAAAGATTGGGAGGCATAGTTTTTATTTTTATTTTTTGGGATTAGGTTTATTTTGTCTTTAATGTTGAGGGATAAGAATGAAATAGTTGTGATTTTAGAAGATAAAAGTGAAAAAAAAAATTTCAAATATGTTCACTTTTTAAAGTAGTATAATTTTTTTGTACATATAATATTGTTCATGTATAAATTTTCTGGATAATGGTTATACTACGTTAATATTGTTATGTGGTGCAACCATCTAATGTTAAATATTCAAAAGGACGAGATGATCCCACTTTTTTTTTTATCTGGGATATTTACTATCTTTGACTATCTCCAATTGAAACTTAAATTCTTATTTAAATCTAATTAAAAATAAAAAATAAAAAATTTAATTTAATATAGACATTTTTAATAAAAAAAACCCAATTTAAAGAAAGAGAATTCAAATTTAAATGATGACTATTGAATCTTTAAAGAAGAATATAATCTCACTATTAAAAATTTAGGTATTTGAATTTCCTTTGATTTGAATCAAAAAACGAATATCCCTTTCATTTGGTATGAGTATGAATCTAATATTAAAAGAGAGCGTAATCTCACCATTAAACTTAAGAGTCTGAGTACAAAAATTCTTAAAAATATTCACCAATGTTAAACTCATACTCATACCAAATGAATGGAGACTCATTTTTTTCACTCAAATCAAGAGAAATTCAAATTCATACCAAAATCTTTAATAGTGAGATTACATCCTCCTTTAAAGATCAAATTTAAGTTTAATAGTGAGATTACATTACCCTTTAATGCTAGATTCATAACCATACCCAATAAAGGGAAACTCATTTTTTTTAGTTGAATCAAAGGAGACTCAAATTCATACTCAAATTTTAAATGTTGAGATAACACTAATATTTGTAGATCCAATGGTCATATTTTATCCTCTTTTAAATATAAGTTTATCCTCATTTAAATTTAAACTTTTCTTTTTTTAAATTTGAATTTTATCCATTGGAGAGGTCTATACCAACTTAAACTTTTTATTTTTTTTTGTTTAACTCAAATTTGAAGAAGAGTTTGACTTTCCATTAAAAATTGTTTTACATGAAATAGTAGTTACTTGAATGAGTGTGGTCTACTTATCGTACTGGATGAGTTATCTATTAGACGATTACAATACATATCAATGCTAATGTACCAACGAGCCTTTAGCCTAATGGTACTCTGTACCTTGTAAAAGCTTTGCCTTTTTGAAGTCAAGGGTTCAAGTTCCTCTCCCCCTAAAAGAAAAACTACATAAAAAATATTAATGTAGTGTTACTATTACACTCAATATTTAATTAGTGCTAAAGGAGAGTAAAGGACTTGAAAATAGTTTTCTTAAGCATATCCAATCCTTATCATTTTTTAGACTCAAATTTAAATTTGAATAAAAATAGTCCAAAAATATTCTCTAATCTTATGCCCAAACTCATACCAAATCAATAGAAAGTTAAATTTTTACTCAAATTAAGAAAAACTCAAATCTTTACTCAAATTACAAATAATGAAAATTTATTATCCTTTAAAGATCTAATAATCATCTTTCACTAACTTTTAGATTTGAGTTTGTTCTCCATTAAATTAAAATTTGCATTCTTATAAATTTGAGTTTGTCCATTGGAATCTTTTATATGAAACCAAACATTTACTCAATTTTGAGCCAATGTTGAAGATAACATAAATACTCATATTTAAAGGAGTATAAACTCAAAACGAGATTAAAATGTGACAATTGAATCTTTAAAAGATAATAAAATTTGACCATTAATGATTTGAGTAAAATTTTGAGTCTCCCCGATTTAATATGTTTTTTACTCAAATTTTAATTTGAGTTTAAACAAGAATAAGATTTTTAAAAAAGAACAAGGATTGAATATGCTGTTAATAGATGAGGTTTGGTACAAAAATCAATCTGATTTATTGAATATTGGTTTAATATTTTTATTATTATTTAATTCTAAACCCAACCAAACATATTCCATGAAATAACTATAAATTTATCAATACCTTATCATAATTATGATGTTGATCCAAATTTTATATACATCTATATGATGCAAAAGAGAGATTATTGCACAAAATTTAATTAGGATTATGATAAAATTTCTTTGAATCTAACTCACATTTAGTTATTCGAATCTAATTTTCAAATTAAAATTTTAATTATTAAAAACTTGAATGCTACTATAAATGTAAAATCTATATTTCAAATAAAAATTCTTAAGAACGTACATGAATTAGCAAGCCTACATGAATTTGTTTTTGATTCTGTGACTTATTTTTTACTCTTGTGTTTTTTGGAAGGTCAAACACGGTTACAAGTAGGAAAATGACGAGATTCAATGTGAAATTCGAAGAAATTTGAACCTTTTTCGACAAAGGGTAAAATAGTAATTTGTCACTATTATGTCAGATTAAAATACATATTTCTATAAAGCTCAGATAAAGCAACGAGCTTCACCGTTAGAGTCGTATCGCGAAATTGAGTTATCACGTTGAATTTCGAGATAGTCTGATTTAACACGTTTTTCGAGGTAATTGGGTGACGAATGAACTTTTAAATTTCCCTAAAAACAAAAATTATATGAACTAAAATCGGAATTTAATTAAGTCGTTTTAGGTTAAAAATGAACCCGAAAGTGATAAACAAGCGGGACAATGTAGATTGCGCAATTAAAAGTATAAATAGGGGTTAATATCTGAAAAATCAGATATTTTTCACACCCATTTGGCCGGCTGCTTCAGGCGTTAAAGAGAGAGAAGAGGAAAAAATTCAATTTTTTACCTTTCTTCTGCAATCCAAAGTGTTCCGTCGGTCAGAATCGCTTGGACCAAGAACTAAACTTCATCTACACGGCGAGGGCTACATGTACGTACCAAGAACGAAGAGTTTCACTGAAGATCAGAGAGGAGGATTTTGGGAAAATCAAGGTTTTGGGGGCTAGAAGA